AAAGGAACGATCGTGTCGCTAAAATTAATAAATTAACACAGAGGTTATGTTTACTATTTGCACATTTATTTTATGTAACTCAACGTTTTTTTGTTTGCAGTTATGAACATCACGTAGTAGTAGACCGAAATACAAAATTACATAATTATTGTCATACCTGTGCTGCTGTACAGCTGTTTTTTAATATTGTATACCCACGTTTATTTGTAAGAAGAAAGCTACACTAGTGCCCGGGAAGAGGGTATGTACAATTTCGTTACAAAAACTCGCTTCCTTTCCATTGACTAAATTGAGTCTGAGTGCTCTTCTTGAATATTTAAAATAGACATTAAGAAGAGAAAAACGCAGTCAGTTAAAAAAATTGTCTTGCACTCTTGCGCGCTTGAAAATAATAATTTGAACGGAAAATGAAACTTTCTCCGTTTCGCGTCGAACCTATTTACAAGAGTCCAAAGATTCTCCTTGAGTTTCATCTTTAGATATCGCTTGCCAGCTTTACAATACTTATGCAATATAAACACTTGCCCACTGGATTTCATACTACAAAGTCTTGTTCTCCAGAAGTATTGAACATTGTTATCTTTTTATTTATTACGTAATTTATACAACCAATCTTTACTTTTCTCTAATTAAGCAATCATCCATTAATTTCTACAGGTTAATAGAACTCTTGATGTTCAGTTGGCTGTTAGTTTAGGATCCAACACGTTTTGAATTTAATAATGAACTTTGCCCGTTCGTAGGTAAATATTTAAATTTGAAAGAGGATTCAGCTTTTACCATTAATATTTAGAAACTTCTGTAGAACTTATTATGTGTATTCAGCGTAATATGAAAAGTGTATGTTACAAATCTATGTAGCATAAAAGTACCGGGACTTACTCGGGTAGTATTTTAGTCGGAAGCTGTTCGACTAGTTTCGACCATAATCGATGGTCTTCTTCAGGGGTTGAGTGCAACGTGACGCGGTCGCGAACGCTTCCAACTAAAATACTACGCGAGTAAGTCCCGTTACTTTTATATTATAATGTGTGATAACCGTGTTAGTTTTCATAATAAAATCTATGTAGAAAAATAATTTACAAGACATGTACAGTGAACTCTCTTCAAACATTCGTCTAGCCTGAAGTTCATTCTTCGACATAGCTTAGTTAACTCAACCACTTTATATAAAAGGAAGGCTTTTCTTTTTAGTATTACGTGGTATAATTTTCCCGTACATTATTGCGATTTAGTATGCACGATAGACCGTGTTTTAAAATATTACCGAGGCGCCCGAAGTGAGCTGAAAATTACTGTCGGATGGTTGCTAAGTTACATTTTTAAACGGCTGCTGTATCAGAGATGTACGCTGTACAAGCCTACTACTCAAATAGATAACATACCTAATTTATACAGTTGTATCTATATTGCATCATTACATTTAATATTTTACAATAAGTAATACCAGTTGGTCGACGTCAAAAATAATTCAAACTCTGTCGATAACTTCCGTATCGATGTCACCTAATCACTAATATGCGCTGGGTGCATAACGTTATGTACTCCAATAGTGGTGCACGTGCAGATCTCAACCGAATTACAGCCTTACGATGACACGGAATGTAAGTATCTCAATTTCAGATTCCAGTGACGCGAAGTGTTGTACCTACGCTATTAAGTTAAATATCTGCTTTTAGGTGGTTTCCCTCGGCCCGTTTTTCCACGCGCCGTGTGAAGTGGCGTTCTCTTGTGATCTCGTTCGCTTGTGGTTACACAGGGCAACTTTTGGCGGCGATACAAACGCGCTTTCATCGATTCAATCGCTTATAAATTCCAAGTGTAGCGATGCAATCGCGCGTTTGTATAGATGCAGACGCACGCTTGCATCGCGTTTGCATGGCTGATTAAATCGCGCGCGTGTGTAAAAGTAGACAATTAGCGACTGCACTGCATTTACATCGCCGTTAAAAGTCGTCGTGTGTAACCGCTTTTACATTTGAAAACCAGGCCGTGGGAAGCTCCTTTTGGCTGTATTTTTAGTATTGTATAATAGTCCAGTTCTATACAAACATAGCAGCACGGCTTGTATGTCTTGTCTTCTAGATCTCGCAGTGTACTCGAGTCGACTTTATTAAATATCACGATGTATTACCACAGTGATATTCTATTATTTTTCTTAAATTACTCCACTAGTTCGTAATAATTATTAATACAAAGAATGAAAACGAATATTATTTCAATATAGCACGAGAATAGTGACAAATACCTTAATTGTTTACGAATTATGTTTACAACCTCTAGGTACAACTAAAGAAACTATGTCACAACCCTACGCTCCGAGTGACGTGTATACATTGACGCGATAAATATAGGCGGGAGTTACACTACCTTGTCTTAATATACTAAATTACTTGTCCGTCCCGAACTCTGTGCTTACTCTACTTAAGTAAGCTGTCTATCTATTGTGCCTTCTATACTCTCGTATATAAAACATTCGGTATGCTGAACATTATACCATAGTGGATTATTAATTTACAATATCTGGCTCACCTAGTTGTATAACCACAAAATGTACTGCAGCTTATCGGTTGTAGGTAATGAGCTAATTTTAGTAACTTTTACCACATCACAACGTAATGTAATTTGAATATGTTTGTAGTACACACACAAAAGATTTCAAGAAACATAATTTGAGATAGCAATGGTGATGAAATTGCCTTTTATTACAGTTTGTCGTCGTAATTAAACAGTTGAAAAGGGTTTTATGATTTGCTGCGAAAGCCTTTGAAAATCCTGGGATTTCTGAAGCTATACTGTTAAATAGCGATATTATTTGATCGTAGAATAATAAATGTAATAGAAGTGCTTAGTTGGCGTCACCATGGCGTGACATGAGTGCCAACAGTATGCGAAGTTCCGCATACGTGTGCTCGGTCCGCTGTTTTCACTTTGTAAGTCGTATCTTGCGCAATACCTAGAAAATTCTGGAAAAAATGCTTTATTTACCTTATTACTTTGGAGTGCAAAAATGATAATGGCACCCGTAATATTATCCATGGTGGTGTTTCATAACAGCGTTAAATCTTAATTTAAATAAATTTTTCATTTTCCATTTATCGTAATAGATTTTTTGTTATAACAAATGAAAGCGACCCTTATACCGCTACAATATGACTTTTGGAGATAGTTAATTAGCGTTAATAGCCGCTAGACGGCAACGCATTAAATGAAATTACGATATAAAAATCAAAACGACGTATTGAATATATAGTAGATATTGAACTTACAACGATGTGCCAACTGGGTAAAGTTTCAATTATACAAACAGTCCAGAATTAGCTACATCTTTTTAGATTAGTAACTACGACCAATCATTATCAAGATTTCATAGTTTTTACACAATAGTAGTGTAAGTTTTGGTGACAGCGGTTCTGGTAGAAATCAAAACTTAAGGCCCTTAATTTTTTTTCTACCGTGTATTCAATCATAATCTTTTATAAAACTAATAACTGAATAATTAAGGCTTATAGATCTTATTACGCCTAACTAACCAAATTTTATTACTCCTGGTTGGAGGAGTGGAGCCTCCTCCTTTCATTTCCCGTTTTTTTCAAGTTCTAAAACATGTTACATACGAGTATTGCAATATCAATATATAAATATGGGTGACATATACTGTCACCCATAATAATATATTATTAGGAGCGCTAGGATATTATTTATTCATTGGTCCCACCGGTAGGAGCATAAATACATGTTAGTACTCGTGCTACTACCAGTGTGAGCGTCCAGTGGAAGCATGAGGAAACGTCCGTTTTAACACCGCTAACCTGCATGCGAGTGTTGTAATATTGTGAGTACACTTGGTACAATTAGCTTATCATCTGCCTTAATATCTTATTATCTGTATTACACTGATCTTACATACAATCATTACTTAATTTAAAAAAAATGTGCCTACTCATGAAGACTTCATATTGTCAAGGACGTTTTAGTTGACAGTTGACAAAATATTTAAATTTATAAATAGCATTTTTTGCATCTTTATCATTTAATTCTATAAATACAATACTTTTATAATTTGTTTGCTATTACTTGCGTTTTTTTACTTCATCGTCACACTCACCCTTCAAAAGCGGAACGCATTAACTATTAATGTGAGCACACATTACTGCTTGGCGGCAGAAATAGGTAAGGTGGCAGTACTTCCCTGGACGAAATCTTTCATCAGATGTTTTTCTTGAAAATATGTACATCTCGTCATCCGAACATCATCATCGTCGTACGTAACTCATCATCGTAACCGTATTTAACTTAATAATTAAAATATAACCTTAACACTTAAGGTTATATTTTAATTAACACATGACGGTTACAATTTAAAATATCGCTTTACTGGATTATATTTCTTCATTATTGATACGGTAATATAGTCCAGGTTCCGAACACTCGATGTTTTATCAAAGTAATGGCTGCTTTACACGTACTAGCAATCACTTGACAGCTGTTAACTAATCATCGATTTAGTGGAATAGATAACTAGATTACAATGAAAGTTAATTTTTAACCGACTACAAAAGGTGGAGGTTCTCAATTCGAATGTATTTTTTGTGTGTTGCGAACACATTTCGACGATTCTTTTCGTCGGATAGGGGGTATCTCAGTAATGGTCTTATTCAAATTTAAAGAAAATATCCCATCTCTAACAGCGATAAATGAGGGAATAAATCTGGTTAATTGGATTTCGCCCACTTTCCGTTAACCGGTTTCTAAACTTGTCAAATAGATGCAACAAAGGCAATGAAACCGGATAAGGAAACTTTTGAAGTCGGTTTTCTTTTTAAAAAACGTTGTAATTATTGAACGAAGATTGACCAGCATTTGGTGGGCTATCGTTTTGTTTGCAAAATGTCAAAATACTTATAGCTTCACTAAAACACGTGTAAATGTTAGACTACTTTAAATCAAGTTTAGCTATAACTTTGTTAATTACTTCGTCACTTAATACGTGTAGACCAGCCATAAGTGACAATCATTTTGTGACTACTAGTCAATAAACAAGGATAATCCAAAAATTATTGATTTCCTCTATTTTTATTTCGTTTTCTTTTCAATTCTTCAGCAGCTAGTAACTGGAGCTTCCTTCTGTTCTTGTTTTTTTTGTACACCAGCTCAAGAGTCCATAGTAAGATCACCACTGCGAATGACGTGGTGATTATGTAGAATGCTGTTGGGTAACTCTTAGTCATGTCGCGAACAGCGCCTGAAATTTCATTTGATTTACAATCACACAATATGGTGGCCATAAAAGAGCCTTGGAGTAAAGGTCGATGATTCAAATCTCTGTGGTAGCATGTACGTACAATTTGTGAAGTGATGAAACCTGTATGTCGAAGAAGGTTCACAAATGGGAAATTTGAGAAATGACTTTATTAAACTGCAAAATTAACTGTTTTACGAATAACACAAGGATTTATTTCAATGTAAATATAGCGCATTTTTAATACTCACCGATAGCAGGTCCCAAAACCAAATTCATAACACCGAAGAGCATCATGAAAATGCCCATTGCTTTAGTGAACTCTTCGGGAGTGAAGACTTCGGCAAGAATTACAGGAGGCAACACCAGGATGCTGCTCCGCGCTACGCCGATCAATGTTATGAAAAGAAGAACCACGGTTGGCTTTTCTGTCCAAAGCATACCTGGCAAAATCATAGTCATAATGTTATTAGATTAGTCATCACATAAAAAAAAATTAAACACGTAACGAAATAAGTACATTTTAATTTAAAACTAATAGTTACGACAAAAATCACTACTTTTATTAAGAATGCCAATGTTAAGAATGCGGTTGGAAATTCAAACGGACAAAATACGTGTACTTGACATCACGTAAAATGCAGTAGGTATTCTAAAATTCACCAATCACATGGCTATCATAATTACTCGCTGGTAGCAGTTAAAATTCATTCTATGCTACAGAATCAAGTTCTACGAGTCTCATTTTTCACAAGCAAGTTAGTAGAATTAGTATAAATGTTTACTTACATAATCGAGAAACAAAGGCTACAACTAGCCCAATTAAATAAACCTCCTGGTTTCCCAGCTTCGTCACCCATTTACTAATGAATATGAACATGGTTCGCGTCACCAAATCGCCAAAGCAATTTAACATTATTGCTTTTGCTACACTGTACTGGAAAAGAATCATGTATTATAGAATTTCATAAATCCACAGGGTGGCCATTATCTTCATATGTTTAGTTTTTATATCAATAAGCTTAAGAATCTTCTTTCTAGGCGCTGAGCACCGCTACTATGTTATAACTAAAATTTAATTATTAATTTGTGTCTTATTATTTAATTTAAAATGATACTCACTTGATCCCATTTCATTTCGTACAAAGCTTGAGGCAACATAAGTGTAAAATTCATCTCAGCGAACATACAAAACGTAGGACCCATCGATGCGTTTGAAAGGCAAAACTTCTTCAATAGTTTAATATCCAACATTTCGTTGATTTTTTGCCTGGAAAATTATGTCAGTGAACGATCTATTTATAAGAAAACTAAACATCAATTACTGAAGCTATATTATATATATAAACTAATTTAACGTTTAACTTTATTATTAACTTTATGAATTTTTTGTACTCACTTAATACCACCTGTTGGTTTTTCGTCACTATATTCAATGTCATGTTTAATATCATGATGGATTTCTTCTTTAGTTTTCGTAGCCAATTCAGGGTCTGTCATCGTGATCAAGGGCGTTGATAACACAGTTTCATTTGCATTTTTATCTACTAATAGTAATTTTATTTCTGAAAGGATTAAACATAAAATTCGTTGAAAATCATCAGACTATGCTTTCGTTGATTATGTTTCGTTTCGTATGTTTTCGTTACACATTTGTTTTACTTCCCAACAAATTTTAATGTTTTACTTAAAAAGAACTTTAACATCGTTATCTACGATACTATATACGGTAAAGTCATCAGTAATGTTGTACATTACTGATGACTTTACCGTATATAGTATCGTGACTTTACCGTGTATAGTATCGTAGTAGTATCGTAGTAATGTACAACATTACTGATGAATTTAACTTATTGTGAAATAAATCAAGCAACAGAATAGTTTGAAACAATGATTCCATCAAAGGATAACCCTTACCATCAGTATTCTCGTCAGCTACTTCAACTTTTTTCATATGCCATACGACAGGCTGCATCAAAGAAACGGCTACGAAAGTTTGTAACATAAAGCAGCATATTATTATGAGTGTACCTCTGTATCCATACTCTTCTAATGTTAGTTTAACTAGTTGAGGAGCGAGCAGGGCGGAAATACCTGAATAACAAATGTTAAATTATATTTTATCCAAAATAACGCGACGACCTTTAGAGTCATGGCGCACGATACGTCGTTGCGTAGGAGTTCCGACGCCTGAGCGGTGGTTCAAAACGTAACTAGAGGCCACATGGTGTGTTGAAATGACGCGCGGCGACGGAATTTATGGGCATCTGACAGCGGACAAGGGGCCTGAAGACGAAGCGCTGAGACGCCGCATAGCTCGTGTGGCACTCGGTGTGTTGAAATCATAGTGTTGCGACGACACAACAAACCGACACATCCCGTGGGACATCGATTTTAGGTTGCTTATGCATAACATCTTATGAGATTCCGCGTCGGCAAATGTGGTGACTGTGATAGATATTACAATTAGACGAAACCAAGTCAAAGCTGTTCATGTATCATTGGCGCAAAATCTTAAAACATTCAAGTAAATAGAA